ATCCAAACAAGTCATGAAAAGGACTTGAAGATACCCTAGAAACATCTGGTTGACCAAGACAGCAAAATTTCATCAATTTATTATCCCAAAAGTGTAGTGCAAGTCAATCTGTACCGAATTACGTTACACTAATAATTAGGTAAAGAAGATTTTTTAATATTAAGAATTTTTTTATTTAATAATTTTTATTTTATAATTTAATTTAGTTTAAGTTATAAAACAGATTTTTCTTTATTATTTTCCTTATTACTTTGGAACAAATCCCTTAAATCCACTCGTTAAATAAATGGGTAAGGATAAATTCGTCCCTCAAAAAAATACAGAAATAAATTACTCATTTAAATTATAAATTGAGACAAATCACTTATTTTTTTAATATATAACTTCAAATTTTTATTTGTCACATAAACTTTTTTTAATGAAAAATTGACGTCACATGTTAAAAAAATAATTTATTTTGATTTATAATTTTAAAAAAATATTTATCTCTACATTTTTTATTTTTTTTTTGAGGTGGATTCCCCGTATCCCTACTTGAGCGATGGATTTGGGTTTTGCCTTAGTTTGGTTTTGTAAATAAAGGAGGACTGGGCTTTGAAGGGCCTTCTGGTTGCTAGCACTACATCACTGACCCGGCCCCATAGATTAAGCAAGGGTCTCCATCCTGCTTATCACTTTTTGGATTTTGGGTGTGGCCCAATAACCCTTTAGGAAGGAAGAACTATAGGCCGCCAGCCAGCCTGGAAGTGGCATCAAGGCAGTACTGTCTCTCGGCGCCGACAGGCCTCCACTAACATGACACGTGGTATCGATTTGGTTTTCAGTTCAAGAAAGCAAACTTAGCTGTTGTTATGGGAACACGTGTCAGATGTTAGACTGCCCCAAGAAGATTGGCGTGTTTACACAGCCCAAAAAAAAGGCGGGAAAGGACTAAAAGGTCAAAAGAGTACCGTCAGGTATCATAGTTCGCTCAGAATATTATTTCAGTAAATATTGTAATTATAATATAATTTTAAATGCATAAATATATATGATATGGGTATTAATAAAAAAAGATAAACATTTAAAATAAAATTTTAAAGTTAATGATATAATTTATATTATGTTATTAAATTAATTAATTTATAATATTATAGATTTAAAAAAAAAAGATAAATATTTAAAATAAAATTTTAAAGTTAATGATATAA